TAAAATACAGAAGAATATGAAACTTGGATTATGGTCCTCCAATTTGACGCAAAAGATACCCCGGAACAAGCACACAATGGAACCACATGGCAACAGAAACGCAGGATGTGTTGAAACCTTTAAGTTAGTCGTTACTTCTACGCCCGCTTGATGATGATGGCTGAAGAATTATTGCAGTGGGATTCGACCAAATAAAATCTAATGGCCCCACAATGTCACGTAACTGCACCCTGTCTGACTTTATGGCATGTCATTAGACTTCATCTACCTCCACCCTTTCTGAACACGTCTCGCTCGCCATTGTTTTCAGTTCACCACCACCATATATATGTATGTGGTGAGGCCACGCATTTAAAGAAGACCTCTGTTGAGAATCTTTTACGAGTGCATAATAAGCTCTTCACCAGAAGTGTGCATGGAATGCACATGAAAATGGGTCGGATGTTATCGAAGTAAATGTAAATGGCTCAAGTTTATTTGCTCTTTTCAACTTATAGTGGTCTGGCTACTCAGTAAGTTACTCTACCAGGAGTGTGTGGCAAAGAAATGAAAATAATAGCGCTAGATTGGATATACCATAATAAAGAGGTCAAATGGAACAGATTCACTAATAATTGTTCTGTTTAAAATAGCTCGTCGTTGGCCCAGGTCAGCGAATAAACAATAATCCAATCATGGTTGTCCAGGGGTCTTCCTCTGAACAATTCCCACATACAATAGATTCCAAAGATGTTTTGATACCAGAGTTAGCACATGAGACTCGCGAATGAGCGCTGTAAGCGCAAGCGAAATCAGAAGCAAGTGACCACGTTTGTATTGCGTGAAATTGTACAAGTACGCGTTTTTGTAGTTTTTCGTGTTCAAACAAAATACGATTATGCAATTGACAAAATACGTAGTGTTATGATGGAATCAAAATGAAGGTACAAAACACCACAAACTATTTGATTATTTAACTATTTAATTGAGAGTGTTTCGGGACATCTGCACACCAAGAAACTTTCAACTTTAGATCCCGACTTGTAAAATTTACCGGAATGTGTCCATCATATGCTTCGACAGATAATTTCGACTCGCGGTAGAGCGCTTTCTCCTGTTATCTCCAACTACTCTTTACTACCTTAACTCACACCTCAAACAAATTCGAATGAAAAACCTTCTGTAAGTGGGAGAAATCTATGCTGGACAGCCAAGACGCACTGCGCAGGTGTTTCTGTTTCATGGTCATTGCGAATCTTCTGGCGAAACTCCAGTCGGGAATTTCGAACTCAGGACGTTCCGGTCGGTGCCTGCACACTTAAGCAGTCGGCATCGAATAGCTGACAGCGGTGTGCTCAGCTTTCTATTAGATAAACATGATATAGTCCCCACCCGTCATCCTGCAACTACAGAACCGTATCACGTTATCACGTATTGACCGGTTTGACTCCACGAGTGATAACTACTCACTACTTGTCTGGTGAAATTAGGCTTGCTCTGAACCCTCATAGATTGATCGTTGCGTGAGATGTTTCAATTAATATTTCATACTGTCAGTGAGGTCAAACTATGCTGAAAAGCCAACAAGCATCATACAGCCTTTGCCGTATTGTCTGAATAGGTGGACAGTTGGTTACACCAGGAGATACACCAAGAATTTCAAAGCGTTTCCAGTAAAAGTCACCAGATCCATTTCCGTGGAGATGCACTACACCGCAAAAAAACTTCTCCTCTTCCCCTCACCAAAAAACTATCTCAACAAATGATAAACATTTTATTCTCACTTGGAGGTATATTCCCTCATTCGCTTGTCCAGGAGGTAGGTTATTCTAGGCATTCCACTCCTTTCTGCGTTTAACCCGCTTTGAATCAGGATAAACTCTTCGTATTTAGATATTTTGGCTTAGAAAGGAGTAATGATGTCGAAGGTAACTTTGTTTTCTCTAGCAGAAACCTGGTACCTCATCTCTTTCCCATATCCCGAGGACTATTCCGATAGATTCATCGATACGTTATGTGGAGCCGAAACTGCGCTTGTAGTGCGCACATATGGATACAGTCAGAATGAAAGACGAGGTAAGAGATCAATTGCACAAACTTTATTTATCCGGATATTTCGAATCGCATGAATCCATCATTCGGTGCACCAACGTCTCTTGAATTTCAAATGATCCTGCCAGTTTTCTGATTGAAATCGTCTTAGCAGTTTTGTTGGTGCGTCGGGAGGTTTCATAACGGTAATAGTTCATATCTTGGGTGACCGTAATCAGGCAATCACAACAGACCTTGATAGCTATGACCACATCGAGGTGGAAGAATAGATGGTTTGGATAGGCTGAATAGAAAGCCTGGTACATTACGAAGAATTAAGCACAGTTGATAAACTTCAGCCATCCTGTTCAGTGAGGTGTTTGCAGGACATTCGGTGGAATTGCACACCGAAAGTAAATGGTAATGAAGCATCCGTTGGGTCACCATATAAATGTCCTTAGTGTTAACTTCATACAGTGCGAACCGTTGACCGGCTCAGTGAAGTTGTCCTCGCATGCCATCCGCCTGTAGCTTGCGCAAGCCTGTCTGAAAACCCTTTGGTTACATGTATGCGTGCGTGCCTGGCACTGGATAGGCAACCATAGTGGTGGAATCGCTTTCCGGATAACCATGGGGAAGAAAGACCTTCACATCACTTCGCCAGATTGATAATTCTCCGTATAACGCCCGTTAAGGGGATGACCATTAATATCAGAGACAGAAATACAAATGCCTCGTTGCAGTACAACTATAAAGTTCATCTAATTGTTTTTAAAGCCTGAGAGCGAAAAGAAGAGGAAATGATTGGGTGAGGGAGGGGATCTAGTACTGGCCTATCACCAGCATTCTGAGGGACCTGCACCCCAAAGCCCTCAGTCAGACAATCTGAAGGGAGACAAAAAGCCCGAACGCCATCGATCAGCCGCTATTTCATGCAATGTCTCCAGCCAGGCGCAGGGTGGGTCCCGGTGATCCCATCCTGGAAGAAGTACATCAACAATACCCAAACTCTTTCTGCTTTCTTTCATACCCTTCCACCAAGTCGTACGTTGTCCACCTTGCAGTTTGTGCCATTCTGATGGAGGCATGGAGAACGACACTCTCCTAGTAGAACATGACCGAGCCGCTTCAGATGATGGTGATAATGATGATGATGATGATGATGATGATGATGATGATGATGATGATGATTATGATGATGATGATGGAAGTTTTCAAGAATGAAGTACCTGCGGCACAACCAAACACCGGTTTTCTGGTCACTTCGTTACTCATTCGCTTATGCCATCCAAAACCAGCAACACTTCTGTGACATCGGTGGACAAAAACCTGAAGAGGCCTTCACCATTTGTCCGCGCCCGTACAACAACGCGCCCCCTTGAGATCTAGTGAGATACCTTTTTGACGCCACAAGTGACGCAAATTAGCAAGCGCGATTTGAGCCTTTGAGATTCTTGCACTGACTTCACCATCGCTTACGTCGGAGCTAGTGCAAACTACCGGGGTATGTAAAATTTTTACATCATCTCCAGTGATTCTCTTTGAATGATAAGGTATATATTCGGAGACTGCACGTCCTGAAGCATGACTTCGCACACTGAAGTTGCTGGGAGAATCCAGCGTACGAGCACGACCCACTTGTTGTCCTGCTTGCTTCAGTATGCGAACGTCAAAGGTAACTAAGTGGATGCTTCCAGGGTTTCAAAACAGACTTCGAAGTGTTTAGGGTTGTTACTGAACTCAGACATACAGAAGCTGCAGCTGTGTGATGCACGGCGAGAAAAACGATTAGTCCTAGTTCTGGGACTTGCAGATAGAGTATCCGAATTTGGTTGGGACAGGATCGAAGAGGGAAAACTTGAAATTGTAAGAAGGGAGGCATTAGCAGTAGCATGCTTTCGCTTACCCACTCGGCTGTACGCAACAAGTAAGTTTACCAGGTTGGTGACACCTCGTGACGACCGATGTGGCATGAGTCTATTGTCAGACGTAGTTATCATGGTTGTACGTGGGCTGCTTCCGAGGAGTCCACAACTAGACAGGAGGCTGATTAGGGTCCTCGATCAAAGCCTTTGACTCAAAAGCCTGACCACAAGGCAGCCGTGTTTGTATTTAATACAAATGCATTCTTTTTATTGAACAAGTCGTTACACATGTTCTAACCCCCAACCAGGAAACTGTGTCGGGCAGACCTCTAACCAGTGACCAGTCTGGTGTGAGAGACGGGTGTCGCACGGATACCACCTAGTTGGTCACGGAGGCACGCAAACTGTCACTCCAAGGTAAGGTCCAGTCTCTTCTTGATGGCGTGGGGGATGAATAATCTCTTGGTCCGCCTATGACTTATTTGTCTACCAATTGACAGCGTGACGGTACAGCCTTTCAGTTTTATTCGGGGACCGAGTAAACCTTGAATCTAAGCAACTTTAGTAACTAGATTACAGTGAAACGCCCCAGTCGGGTCAACAGGTGGACAAAGATGCAAAATTCAGCCTTCAAATAAGTCAAAATGTTAATCGGAATTATGTGAACTTAATTGCTCAATGCTGGTATAACCCTAATCATCTTCCCTATCGTATGCTCACAGCTGTTACCGGCAGTCCAGACATCCATTATCGGGATAGAAAACTCATTTTGATTGTCCACAGGGAAAACAAATCAGCAAACTGTTCCTTTTACTAGCTTTTCTGGAATGAGAACATACGTAGGATGGGGAATACTGTTCACTCTACTAACAACCGAACCTGGATGGGTACACTCGTACGCGTATGCTAATGGTTGTACTGAGTAAAATCGCTCTGGAATTACTTAGCCGTAATGGTGGAAAATCGCTTGCTTAGTAGCTAAATTTGATGGGGTGCATATTGATCTGCCACCTGACCTTCAAATGCTTGCTGAATTTTGATTGGTTATGCAATATTGTCCAACCGCCAGCTAACAAACAGGCTAATATAGGGCACTGAACGGTACAGGCAGTGGAGTTAAACAGGATGTCGGAGGAGCCCCGTTTTTCTCTCTCTCCTTCAACGGACTCTGTTGAATCATGCGGCAACGCAAAGTTGGCGGACGCTTCGCGTCACATTCTGATGCCTGTGGACGATAGCAAACATAGCGAGCGTGCTTTTCGGTGGTATCTGGATCACATCATGAGACCGGGTGATGGATTATATTTGACGCATGTTGTTGAACCTATGTCTCCAGGTCTTGACTATGCAAAGGCAAGCAAATCACCTGCAATAAAAGAGGAATTCAATCGTCATATTAATGAACTGGTTCAGGGAGGTCGGGTGCTCCGAGCGAAATTCATTGCCGAGTGTGAATCCCGCGATTTACCAGCGAAGTTCACACTTCACGTGGGCTCCAAACCGGCTGAGCACATTGTCCGTGTTGCGCAGGAACATGGATATGATATGATAGTCATGGGAAACCGTGGTGTCGGAACTATTCGACGGACTTTTTTGGGAAGCGTCAGTGACCACATAATACATAACGCAGGCCTGCCTGTTATCATTGTACCCCCTCCAAAAGTTCCAAAGAAGAAATAAATATTCTTTCCATTTGATCTACAGACGCTCGTGAGTCCCACGCTTTATGAGATCGATGGTACTCTCATTTTCACTTAATGCTTAGATGATGACATTCATAATCACCTCCAGACAAGCGTTACTGTGAGAATGTGAAAACCTTTATTACGCAAATGTTTTGTCAGCTTCGATGTTTTATTCCAAATTAAATTTATCAAGTATGTGTCGTGTTGTTGTGGGGAAAGTAAGCAGAAGGGAGTCACCCTTATGATTTCTGTAAAAATACTAACAGGGCTGAGGATAAACTAATTTTGCTAAGCCTGACCTCATATTTCTCTTTCAATGAGAAATTCACCCATAACAGTGACTCTTATGAGGCGCCTCCGCGCCACCGACAAACTCTTGTTATTTTTCAAGATGTTGGGACTGTTTCATTTATTTTGACTTTTTGCAGGACATTTCTTAGGCCTCCGTTCCTCTGATAAGACGTTATTACAAGACACCCAAAATGAAGTTAAACAATTAGTTACACTGCTTAAATATCACCACTGTTTGAAAATGATTACAGTGACGAACATTAATGTTTTCGGGATCTCCCCAATAGGTCATTACATTTCTAATGGATAAAATAGGAGCGAAAAAGGAAATACGCAGCGAAGATTGTTTAGTGAAATGCAGAACGTGGAGAGATGGACAATCGGCTGTCTGCACCCCCATGTCTCACCTAGTTGGATGCTATGAGACAGTCTAGAGGGCCGTTGGGTGACTTGGCCAACTGATTCGTGTCACACGACCAAGGCGTTCGTACGAAACGTTTTTGACAGCACATTGCCGGGTGTCGCTGAAGTGTATCGACTGCTTCGGCTGTAGCCAAGCTACACCGTTGGATAGATACTGGCAGTCTATTTGGTACACGGTAAATGGCGTGAAATGACTCATTTGGAATGACCATGTGCCCTGTGTTAAGCAGGTGGGACGCGATTGTGCTTCTGGCTGAACTGTTGAGTCTAATGGCATGCCGGTAATAGGGGTGCTCACGTATTCTCTTTGAACGTTGCCGTCTCGTGCGCCCAACGTATTCCGCTGAATGACAGCAGGAGAAACCATATTCTGGATAACGACTAGCATCTTGTCTTTGAGGTTTAAGTTGAGCGAAGGGTTGGTTGTAATCCAAGACCACAGATTTCCAGCCGCCCATCGCAACCGTTGTAAAGAAGCCAATCCAATTGAGTTTACCGTATAAGGGCGATCTGGTGGCGAACATATTCAATCGCCGATTGTTTCAATCCCTACAAAGCACTTTTCCGGCTGAAACTGAATTGTTTGCATTGTTGCATCAAATCTGTTTTTTTTTTGCTTTCAGGGAGTTATCTATTCTGATGGACCACATTATTTAAGAGTTCACTCATTAAGGGTGAGATTGCGTGGCTTCTTCGGGGGAAATTCAATTGGGAATAAACCTGGTAGTGAATTCAGACGTAGTCTGTTGTACTAAAAACATTGCCAATATTCCGCAAGTTCTACCTTTAGTTCTTGGCATTCCATTGGCATTTTGGAAGTCCATGAGTGTCATAGGTACGTTTGGATGTCCCAATATCTGGACTGTTACCCGCCTCCATCTTCTCCATGGTCCAAGTCCTCAGCAGGTGCGCGTAATTAACCGAAATTCTATCGTTTTCATCTAGCTCTCAGTCTATTTTTCGCCTGCCTCAGTGAATAACAGTAGGATCCTTAATGGCACTTGACTGGTAGTTTGTCTCCATTACTTTCTAAAGAAAATCAACAGCACCGATGATTCCGAGACGGTATGTGCATAGCCGTGATAAATATCAATCGGTACCTGAATTCTTCTACCATTCTATATTGTTGCCGGGTTTCATGAAAATAAGGTGCATCGTTCGCTTTGCAATACGCGACCAGAAAAAAAGCAAGGACACTTCACAATCAGCTGGGTATTCACGTGAATTTAGGGTCGGGTTCAGACCACAACTAACTGTACTCTGAGACAATAGTTGCTTTCGTATGTCCTGCTGACATGGTGATTCGCAACCATACAAACTGGGTGGGGAGGCGGGAATTTCACCCTAGTTGTAGTGCTCATACAGTGCGCATCGTGATCTTGTAAGCTGAGTGACAGACATATCCGACTGATGAACCAGCCTGCAGACGTGCGTACACTGGCTGTTCCAGACACTCTCAGACAAATCAGTATAATTTTCTGTAAGTTGCCAACCACCTAACCTGTGTGCGCTATTATCCTAAACGGGTACAACATATCCACTCAGTTTGGGCTTTAGAAATAACATTACTCATTAGGTTGCCAATCTATTTGGGTGCTGTCTTGTTGTTGAAAAAAATGGAGAGGCAGTTTTATACAGACGTAGCTGATAACGCTCCGACAACTCGCGATCGCTTTCGTCCTTGAACCTGAACTTGAAACAAAATTTCACGGAATTTGACAAATACTTTCTCGTGATGTTCTTCCGCTGAAAAACATCCGGAATTCAGTCAAGTCTCCTGCGAACACCAAATCGGTATGTGAATGGGGCAGTTTTATACTTTAGGCGTAAACCATGCTATTGCCGACAGCGCCCAGTCTCTACCGATCGTAACTGCCTCATATATTCACTGGGTCTGTTTGTCACACTGAAAAGCACTCGGCTCACTAGGTAAGCGAAATAAGCTGAAGTGGGGTTTTGAGTGAGCGAAACGGTGTCAGGTTTTAGTAAAGGCGTTGTTGGCGATTGCAGGTCACTGACCAGGTTAACTCGGTTTGACTAAGCTTCCAGCTGTTCGTGTACGAATGCAGTTAACACATTCACCCTGTTGGCAATCCAGTCTTATTCCGATCGATGCGATCGATCGTTAGGCGATCGCTGAGCATGAGCTAATGCAAACTAATCCCGTCCTCGCTTGATTTTTTGAGCGGGACAACTTATTGTTGTTCTAATTGTGCGACCAAGTGTCACATGGTTTGAGACTCCGGCCTCCGAAATTCAAGGGATCGTAAGAAAAAACTATTGACAACCTCGTCTAAATTTGCTTGCATGGTGTATGTGTATACCCACAGGCTTCCTGCTCCACACAAAACAATATAAAAGCACCCATACACATCATGGGTTGTCGTATGGGACCAAAGAACTCGTTTTCCTGGCATGAGCTCCACGCAGTAGGATTTTCTAATTCATTTTACACACGTTTTGCTCCCCCTGGAACTGCTGACGAGTAGAGAAGGACGAATAAGGTTAGCTAAGGAGGATAAGGTACGTTGTCTAATCAACGAAGGAGGGGCACCAAAGAGATCCCACTCCTTGAAAGAAACAACTTTTGGCTGGTCCCTTGAAGTTTTTGTGAAATTTTAGAACTCTGGAAAACAACCCCTTTGCTTGGACTCTGACTGAAATTTGGTAGAGATTTTAGTTAAAATCCATTTTAGGGCGAACTGAGAATTATCATTATTATTATCATTACCATTATTATTATTATTATTATTATTAATAGCAAAGCCAGATGAAAACACTGATGGTGCACTGCGGAAAAGCCATATCAATTATTTGGAAAAAGAATTATGATGAAAAGCAGAAAAATAATGCATGCGAAAGGACCTAGTTCTATCCTACAAAAACATCTGAGGAGCCTACACATCAAAAACTCAATCAGACAATCGGGATAGAAACTGGCAGCGGAAAAATTCACGCATCGGTTAGCCACCATATAGTTCAACGTCTCCAGCCAAGTGCAGTGACGAAATCGTGAACCTAAAAGCAAATGGTTGCTACGTTTAGAAAATAACGAACACATCCGGTAAAGTGAACCGGTACTCCAAGAACAGTGAAAAAGTTTCAAAACATTGCATTCATTTGAAGGCTATATATTCGAGGTGAAGTCTCACCTGTGACACTTCTCTCGATCAAAAAACGTTTTACCGACGATCAAGCATCCGAAACTAAGCCACTAACTTCGGATTTCAGGAATAGCCTTACTGGGATGTAATTTCAACGAACTTCCTGAACTCACATTTGCCAGTTAGATGCAGCGCGCATATAGGGGGCAAACTCCGTCCGTAAACCAGGGACAGAACTCCTGTCTTTTAAGATATCCTTCCTTCAGCTTTTGGACACTCTTAACCTTCATAATGAAGTGTGAGATAGTAAACATTCGCGTGGCAGTTCCGCATATTAGCCTATCTACAATGTTCCGGATCCCATTCAAATTCGAAAGCCACAGTGCTGCTTTCGGATTCCTAGATTTTGCTTGCCAAATTAACCACTTTACGGTTAATTTGGTAATCGGGACTTGTTCTGGATTCTGCCGACGCGGAACTTGTGAGCGGTTTGGGAGATACTTCCTCCGGTTTAACCATACAAAATTACTAACCCCAACCGAACTGCTAGTGACTGGTTCTTCACTCGCCTGCGAGCGAGGCACTGTCAACCCGAGTATACCACTTCAGCGAATTAATATCAACACAATCCTTACTAGAATTGGACTGAGTAGAGTACGCATCCGAGTGGACTACCGTGAGAAAGAAACCTAAATGCATCAAGGGATTCACATATAATCATTCTCACCTCCCCATTCGATGTTTGCTGGGGTGATGGATAGACGCTGACAGCGCATGAATACATAGGACTTTCGTGATTTGATTCCTTTTCCTCAGCTGTTGTATGAACACCCCAATCCGTTCGCAGCGGAATATTATGGTTCCCGGTCGGACGAAAGCAACGACTTAGTTTGAGGTGACATACGGTTTGACAGTAGCAACCAAAACACTGGACCACTTGTGGTGAAATGCGAAGTCCACAAGAGGGAAAGTATGGTCAGATAACAGATACGATTTCCAGTCAGGAAAAACTTGTTTATGAATTGCCGGTAGACAACCAGGAATACGAAATTCCTTCTGTAAGCAATCGTTTGGGAGAATAGAGTTTTTAATTCAAACGGTCGTAAAATGTCTGAGATTTTCACTGGTTTACATGGAATGGAAGAAAAAGGATAAGGCAAATTAAAGCTTCTAGATC